GGTCAGCAGGTGGTTGGTTGCTATTACAGATTCATAGTTCAGCATGCGAGCGCCTTAGGTGTGTAAACAGTGAGTGTGTGTCGTGACTCGGTACTCGAGGTGGGTTTCCCCTCGTAATCCGGTCCTCCACGCTTTAAATGCCACGGCGCTCTCTTTCCTCTCCCCGCCCAACATCCGAAAATAGATCCAGTCCGGTTGCTCTGATGTCATCTGAAGCAGGAGAATAGAGCAGCGTGGAGGAAAACGCCGATGTTTTTAAAGAGCATAATGTACACTTCATGCTGTCAGTTGCCGTGGAAACCCATCTGCCATTTGAAGAGGATCAATACACTTTGGTGATTTCCATCTCTGTGTGGGAGTTTTCCAGGTATACGTCTTTGCTTTGAGCTCTCCCATCACATTACCTTGCCTCCTTGAGGTCATTATTCCAGGCAGCACATCTGATATGGAATATGTTTGTATGTGTGTCAGCGTGTCAGAAGCCCAGGAGGCCTTTGTCCCGGCAGCAGAGGCTGGACGAGTAGACGGAGCTCCCCTAACGTTCAGCGAGGTGATCTGGCACTACTACCACCAAACGTTCCCCGACGCCCAGACAACCACTGCCATCCTCATTCATGACCTCCACCTCAGCGGCGAGGAAGTGTGGACTACAGGAACGCGAGGAATACAAAGGAGAAATCCTTCCTGCATCTTTTCCCATCCTCCCCCTATCCCAATTTTTCTTAACAATGAGTAAGGTCTTCTACCTGCCCTTTTGTAAAGCCCCTCGAGACAGCACTTAGCACTCCACATACATCTGCATGGCTCTGTCAAAGAAGCTGTTTCTGGGTTTAGTGTGGACACTGTAGCTGCTTCTTATATATCTGGCTGTTTACCAAGAGAGTGCGACTTCTATCTAGTTGCAGTCTCCTGAAATCGATAATCCTTCTCTGCTCCTAAACACAGTTTCACTCTTAGTGAACACAACCCATGTCCCTCACAGCCTCACTTGAGGGGAACCAGCCAACAGTCCTCCCCCCAAACACACACACATACACTCTGAAGTTGCTTGAGCCACACTGGCATCCAAGGGCATCGAAGCCTCTGCCTCTCATTGACAAGCTGTCTGAATTAGGAAACGCTCCCGCAGGCTTCGACAAAGATGAATGACGGCGCTGGAGTAGCAGCTTTGACAAACACAGGAGGGCCTCAGAATGAGAATATGATTCATATGGTGGCTGATTATAAAGTGTGTGCTCTGTGGCCCTGAAGTCGTGTTTTACTTTTTGATGTTGTTTATGTTTTCATTTTAGCCATCCATACTGGATGTATCCAGGAAACATCCAGTATGGGAGACGATTTATTTTACACCATGTTGCGGCTGCAGGGTCGTCGAGAAATTCTGGGGAAACTGTTCACCTTTCTAAATTAGTTCTCTAGCTTGCCTAGAAAATGATTAACCAGAGCATCAGAAAGGCATTACAGCCTCTGTATGCAACTCTTTAAGAAACTAATATTAAATTCAAACTTTTATTTTAACCTATTTGGAGAATATTGAAACTTTAAAGACTTTAATGAAACTGAAAATGGAGAAACTTTTATCTACAACTTTCGTGAATCTGAACACTAGACACTGTAACACAGAAGCCTCAACAAGTAATGTCTCAAACTGTGGACACGCATAAGTTAGTTTGACAAGTTTCTTTTCAGCTCTCAACCTTAAGTCGGGTACACACTACAAGAGAATCTGGACGATTTTGGGCCCGATTCCCCCCTTCCGACCAAAGTCAGCAAAAACTTGACTATCTGATGGACCCAAAGATTATCTTGCCAGATTCTCCTGAGCTGTGTGTAAGAGTGATTTTAACGTGTTCTATATTTATCAGAAATCTTGTTGTGTGGGGAGAACACCGAGGACGGCTGAGCACAAACAATAGCCAATAGGGAAACAAGCTGACTGAAGCAGGAAGCACAACAAACATTACCATTAAGACAACAGCAAACGCAAAGCATAAAGTTAAATGGATGACATAAACTGAGGACCAACATGTTGATTTGTGGCAACGACACTGTAAACAAACCACAATCCAACTGAAAGGGAAAGGACCAAAATGTTTACCAGTTAACAGCTATCCACATTTAGCTTGACCCTCATGTTTGTTTACTCTTAAATTGCGCTTGACTGCGTGAGATTACAGTGCAAGTTTTGATAGTCTAGACTCTGCTTGTTGCTGAATGTATCGGTAAGTGTTTGTTGTGCTGAGTTGGTCGTCTCTTTATACATCACACACTATAAGAACTGATCTGTTAATCGGTCATTATTTGTCGTCATGTGTGGGGTCTTTCTCATTTTCAAAATTGTTTAGGATTTTAAAAATCTTTTAGTGTGTGCCAGGCCTTATAGGCTGCTGCCCTCAGGGGTCTGGTACTTTTCATTTAGCTTGATAACCCTTGACGTTGGGCACTATGGCATGCTTTATGAGGAAGGTATTCTTCTGTATTTACTTTATATCAACCATACATAATGCTGTTAATTTTAAAGGCTTATTATGGGACATTAGAGGCAAATCTTCAGACCAAAACAAATGCAGTTGGTCACACATCCTTCATCCCTCAGCTCCCCCTACCACTCCCTCCCCGTTTCACCAGAAAGTGTCTGTGAGACAAACAGCGACAAACCAGTGCTGATAAATATCTCAAAACAAGATTCTGCGATCAATTTCGATTCAAGATGTGCTTCTCAAATTGATAATGTTATTCTTTTCTTTAATCTTTAAATACGCTCTTTGTAATATCTTTACATAGAGTATGTTTGATATTTCTGATTTGTTAATTGTCTGTCTTTGTTCTCTGTCAGAAACTTTAATACTGCTGTCTTGGCCAAAACTCTCTTGAAAAAGAGATCTTTCATCTGAACGAGAACATTTTCCTGGTAAAAATAAAAAGTTTGTTGGTCAGCTCACAGAGCTCCGTCATCAAGACATCTGATTGGTCAATCGACATTATTTTTCATAGAGACTGGGCTCTTGTCCAAAACATAACTTTCTCCAGAACAGTATTAGGTGTTCAATACGAGTTACCATGGCGATTTTAAACCAGTAAGTGAACCACATTAGTACTGAAAACCAAGAGTTAACCCAGTTGACCCAGTTGTCACAATTGTCACAATTAACCCATACGTTATCTCGATATCAGAAAATCCAGTTCAACCAGTATCTCTCATTGGTTTCGACCTGTCCTCTTTAGACCAATACCTTAAAAAATATATCTTCATACATCAAACACACACACACACACTCATTCATGTGGTCGCACAGCGCATCACAAATGGCGGCCTAATTATAGATAGAACATGCTGAATCCCCCCCGAGGCTCTCCAGCAACATAAACAAGAGGCTTGATGAAATGGTAGCCTAATCGGGTTTCATACTGTCAGCCTCGGGCAAACTCACAGCTCACCCCCTCTGCTCTCTCCACGAGGGGGGGGGGAAGCTGCCACTTTATCAAACCTGCTGTCAGAAGCTGAGGTGATGATGACGCATCAATCAACGACAGACAGGTGACGCTCAGTATGTCATCGTAATTGATTCTCAATTTTCTGTATTCTCACAGAAGTCCTTGTAAAAGAAGCAGCACAAACACTTAGTGTGTTTTTTTTTTAAAGTTTAATATCTCCATTACTGGAAGTGCTCCTACATTTACACAGGGGAGCTTCCCAGTACAACCATAGCTTTCAAGTACTGGCTCAAGTTGAAGGATAAAAGGACACTGGCTGAAGGACACGTTAATGATATGTGAAGGAGCCGCGGGCTGCTTGTATACCTTTCCCCCCGTCAGTCGTTACTGTAGAGCCTTCTGACCTCCTGATGGAGAGAGGACGGGATCAGGTCAAGGTACCGGAGCAATTAATGCCATATAACCTGCAAGCAGTGCCATAAACATCCATAATGACTTCCACAGTGACTTGTAAATCAGCATGTAATTCCAACCACTGACAGGCTGACAGGTAGCCATGGACGAGCTGATCCTACGGGCTTATCAAAGGGATGTTTAGATACCGTAGAGGGATCCAGTGATTGACAGAATAAGCTCCATCTATATGGCTCACATCACTCACATATGCAGATGATATCTTAGTCTACTGGTTCAAGATACACAACCTGCTGCCAGCTGATATTCAACTACCTAAACTACCCACAATGCCATGTCCTACAAGTGTGTTTGATCTTCAATCATAAAAGAAAGAACAAGAAATTAATTTGTCTCATGATTCATTTTTAACACAATTAAATATCATTAGTTAATTATTGATGAAGCAAACAAGCACACCTGTCTTTGAGGCATCCTCTTTGGTAACACCACAGTTCTAAACTGAAAAACACACCACCAGTCGCCCAGTCTGTTGGAAGCTCAGGGGTTGGAAAACGGAGGGTCACCAGTTTTAGTCCCAGTACCAAGCAATGATATGGAAATTGGGACTTGTTGCTGGGTGATGCTAGTTCTGACTACAGGGTTCAGAGCAAGGCACAGAAACCCAAACTGCTCGTGATGCCCCCCTGTGTGCAGCTCCCCAGCCCTCAGATTTCCACAGGATCCTGGTGCACCATATTAACTTCTTCACCATGGTTTTTTCCATCAGACAGCACAAGCCTTACCCTATCAGATTCTGAAGCGTGGTGTGGAGGAACGCATCCCCAAGCAGCTAGATTTACTGGTTCACGAGATCACACAGGAACACAGAGAACAACATACACCATGCCTTTCTGAGGTTGAAGTCGTTCATTTGATGCCTGTTTCGATGTAACGTAGATATAGTGATGTGATATATGGAGTCTGTACATGTTGTTTTATTTTGATATTGATTGCATGCTTTATGACTTCCTGTGTGTGACTTCCTGTCTGGGCTGATCTGCTCTGTTCAGCTTCAAGCGTGCTGGCAGCGAGCTCAGTCATAAAGAAGACGTGTGCTTACTTCAAGCGGAGTGGTTTTTTTATCCACAAATGTGATGTGCTGTACTTACGAGAGCGTCCTCTCCAGCCTGCTGCCAGTCGTGCCGATTATCTCCCCCAACGTACAGAACATCTGACCCAGGAAGTCCTGCAGAGGAGAGGAGACAGCACAGAATTAAACACCATGCAGCAACCAAACCTGTAACCTACAGTAATAAATATAGAATATAAGCAGTGAAATCAAATAGAAAATATGAAGAATATCTAAGTAAGGTTATATCTACAGAACAGGGCCTGTACCCTGACACAGTGGTTCACAAAGAATTATATTTTTGGCGAGTGGCTGGTGCTACTTGTGGACCCTGTTTACAGTACATGTTTATAGCACAGACAGAGAGGGCTTTGGAGCATTTCTGTCACTAGAGATCATTAAATAAGGTGGTTTTGAAAACAGACTACATTCAGTTGAGGGATTTAGAGCTCCAGTTCTAGCCTCAGAGACGAACAGATCCACTCACAAGCCAGCCCACGTGGTCCACTATCTGTGATACAGTGTGAGTGCCTTCTTCTCTTTATTTCAACGAGTGAAGCAGTCACAGAAAACACTGTGAAAGGTCATCGGTCTGATGTTTACACATTATTGCATGTTGTCAGCCTACCTTCTGCTCATCCAGGTGGGTAGGCAGAAAAGAAAAGGCAGACACAAGTTAGAGGAGAAGCTGAAAAGACACAGTGAAAACAGCTCAAACTCAAAAATAACAATCCAAATATAACCCAATGATATTTTCCAGATAAAAAAAGGTCAAACGCTTTAATCATGAATCATTACATTAAGCCATGAATGCATGTTGTATCTGAACTCAAACTTCAGTTATCCCGTTATATAATTTATACTTTCAACGTTGGCATGCTCTGATAAAGCCTTCATTTAAAATTCAATTCAATTAATTCAAGGTCAACTCAATTAACCCTAAACCAGATCAGTTTAAAGAGCCATGACAACGATCGAATACCGCCAAAAAGCATTCACAAGTGTAAATTATCACATGATAATAGATTATTAAAGGTAGAGTCAGTAGCTTTTTCCAGTACAAATTAAATATAGCGGTAAAACATCACACAAAAAGTAAGGACATTTGTGTTTGGTTGATTATTTCTTTGTTGTAAAGATGCTTCTTGGCAATACATCTTATACAGTTGCAAAGCCAGTTTATTTCCCTTTTAAATGGTGCCACATTTGTGATGAACATGCATTTGTGGGATGAGCAGCAGAGCTGAGTATGTGGGTTGCACCCATGTAAAACTTGCCAAATCTTCTCTACAATTAAGATTGGAATGAAATCATCTGTTTATAATCAACTTATTTGAAATTAAGTGAGACCTGTGTTCTCTTTCTTTCTACACTACATCCAAATTATTTGAGTTTCAGTTAAATTTGTCCCTTTTTACTGTCTCTTGCATGTTTCAAGCCACCACACCAGTTTCATTTTGCATGATATGAATAAGATCACTCAAAGGGTGCTTACATGTTTTGAGAGGTTGGAGCTCCTGGTATCCACGTTGTACCTGCAATTTGCCAACAACAAAAAGAGTGGACTTTAGACAATTTCTTCCTAGCACACTGCTACAGTTCATCGCTTATAGCACAAAGCAACCACTTCGAGAAAAGCAGAGCGTGTCACTTGAGAGGTGAACTCCATTACTTGACAAGAAAGATGTGGAAAAAATGGACATATCTCCTGGGAACACAAAGGAAAAAATCTTGTATGTTCATAAAATAATTACACGTGTTTTATATAGGAGGAGTGAGTCATGAGGGATGGAAACGCTACACAGTGAACTCTGGGGTCACTTGTAGACTAAAGCCTCTTTCACTCTGTTGGATGTGTTGCTTTTTTCTCTTTCTCAACGCTACTGTCCCCCCCGAGGATTTCCTTTAAGAGCGGTCACCAGAGGCTGCTTTGACCATTTGCTGTTGGTATTTGACAAAGGGAGATTCAGTCATGGATGTGGAATAACACTACATACACATCATGTATTCTTCCACTCCACATCTCTCTCTGGATCTCCTTCTCCCTCTCTGCTCCGCCAGTTTGCTGTCATCCTTTTATATGATTTCTACTGTGAAGATGAAGGAGGACACTGCACTCTGCAGAAACCAGCTGTGATCTTTTCACCTGCTTTCTGGTCTCTTCCTCCTCTTCAGCTTCAGAGCCACCTGAAGCTGTGTAACCGGCATGACAATCATTAACATGTTTTTTTTTTTTTCCTGCCCGAGTTTGAGTTCTGCTGGGAGAAGAGGGAGCATGAATATACACAAAGACGTTGGAAAAGGAAATATTTTAGACCCAGAGGAATACCGGCGCTGTATTGTACTGACATAGTAACTTCAACTTTCATGTAGATATGCACTGTACATCTCAGTAGTAGCATTATTCTCAGGGGAGCAGGCGGGCTTGTAGAAGATGAGTGACAAAGCCTCAGCATTGTCATGTTAGAGGTGAAGCCCTGTGGACCGGCTGCTCCCCTGTTAGCTGTGGGAAAAAGCAAATAAGACCATAAAATGTGACTTCCAGACAAAAAGAAATTCAGCAGCACAGCGTCTACAATGTGCGGAACACTTGGCACAAAGCTTGGCTCACTATTGATGTTTCTTCGTAGCCTTCACAGCAACATTTGCATTTCAAAGGGAAGTGATTGTAAGAGTGGATGTTGGAGGACAGTGTGTTTATGTCCCAAACTCCTCTGCCTTATTCTCCCTTCCCAATTCTGATGTAACCACCACCTTTCCCCCTGTTTCCCAATATTTGTTTGTTCTTCTTTTCCCCTATTTAAATTCTTTGCCAAAACTTGTCTCCCTAAAATTGCATGCATGTTTATACGACTTATTCACACTTCAGCATTTATTTTGGAAGAAAAGTAACACTGCTAACACTAAGTTGGTTAAGTTTTTATCAACATAAAAGGAGAAGGTTTGAGAAGTTTGCACTAGTTGTCTAAAATATCCATCATCCATTTACTTTGATACCGCTGGCACCTAAAGCATGTGGATTCTATTTTGTCAACTAAAGGCTGTTGTTATGGTTTGCAACATACCTACTCGTGTTTCTAGTTCAAATTGAAAAACGGCAAAGACGCTTTGATGGCCAAAAACAATCTCTTACATTTCACTGTAAGATCTAATGAATCACTCATAGACTGTGTATCACGCTGTCAGTAAACACATAACAATGGGAAATATATGCTTTGAGCAAGACTACTGATAGTAATAAACGTACTGTATGCATCATGGTGGTGGAAGATTGGTGATTCTGCTGAGAGAGACGAGTGGTACTTGGCGCTGGCAGCATGCTGCTGCCATGTTGCAAGACTAAGCGAACATGTCGTTGTAAAACTGGCATGCTGGGGCTCCTGAAGTAGTATGCCACATGATAGTTTTTGATGTCTGTGCTGCTGGACTTGATTGTAACACCACCATTAAGTGGACATTTGTAGTTCTCAGTGAAACGTCAGACTAACCATTGGCTGGAGTATTAAAAATTGTTGGTACAGGCAGCAGTGCCCCCAAAGGATGACATGTAATAACAGATCAAATGGCTTCAGCAGCAGCCAGTATGTCCTCCTTCTAAGTTTAGATTCTGAGCACTGGTTTGTTTTTGTTTGGACCAGAGAAGGTAGGCGGTTTTAAGGCTTAGTCAAAAGGCCGTTTTGGACGCCCCTCTGTTTGCCAGGCAAACCGCAAACCAACAGGTGTTGCAGCGATGGAAGCGGGCGAGAGAACTGGCTCAGATAGAAGTGATTGTACACGACTTGAAAAGCCTCTGCATGTTTCTAATAAGCTCTAATAAACTAGGATCAATATTGGAGATGCTTTTGAAAAATGGAGAGAGGTTAGAACACAGAAAGGTTTACAGACCGATGCAGAGCTGGCTAAACACTGAAGCTTCAGTGTCCACGAGATGGCAACCTGCGTGCACATAGACTCTAGAGAGGAGGGGGCGGGGGAGACAGCTCTCTCAAATGTTTTGAATTTGGACTGCAGTACCCATTTTAAACACTAGGCGTCAGAGTTACATATTTCTCCTTTAAGTACTCTCAAATCAGACAGCAACTGGGTTTCCACCAAAGTCTGTTTTGTGTTGTGTGCATGGTATATTGTTAGTGCATCATTTTTAAGAGACAAGAGCTTTCTACCACATTGTTTCCCCTTAACACTTATCCTTTGCTCTCAGTGTATTTACTCCTCAATACTTCACCCTTGCACACACCTTGTATAGCTCCTTGATGGACAGGTGATGGTCATGCATGGTCAAAAGGAGACAGCAATGTTACAGCGTGAAGAAACTGAAAACTGTGTGACAAACTGACCCACACACCCTGCATCAGGAAGAGGTGGGAGTGTATGTCCCAGACTTTTTCAGGGGGAAAAAATCTTCCACACACACACATCAATTTGACTGCCTGCTGCTTTCTGTATTTTCGGTTCGGTACATGCCAAGTGTTGGGTTGAAGGTCTTTGAAGAGGGAGTGTAAAAGCAGAGACTAATGGAAATAATTGAATTGAAAGGGAATGTAAGAGAGGCAGCAGCAGCTACATATATACCACCAACCGAGGCTCTGCAGCTTGTCCAAAGTACCAGTTGCAGTGCTCTCCATCTAAAGCACTCCATCTCGCCCCACACACTTTCATTATATCTCCATCCATGGTGCATCAGCGCTAATCTTCAATCTCTCTGCTTCTCCATTTCAACAGAAATCTCTCTCTCTCCCCCCCCATCCCACATTCCCTTTGTCAAAACCTCCCTCTCCAGCGATGTCAAACGCCGAGCTTGGGTGGGATAAAATGAAATTACCACACAGTAGGATAAGCCTGTGAGCGATGGCCAAATGAGATTTGAGTGTGGAAGAGCAATAGAGTTGCTAAAAAAACCAAACCTTAATGACCTTGATTTACATGGCAGGCGGCAGGGGATCCGGAGGGGCTTCTAATCAGCAATGAAGGTGAACAATGAAAACTGTTTGTGTTTGGAAAATGGTGACCTTCATATTCTTCCCTTTGTGTTCCTTTGTGTAACCCACACTGTAGGAGTTAGATCACACAATGCAGAAGTGCTCGTGTCTTTTTTGTGAATTGAGCTCCACACATTTGAGCTGCACCAAATTAGACTCCATGTCGAGGATTAAGGGTGCAGCATCCTTTGTACAAGAGGCTCCAGAGATTTCTGGTTTATTAAAAAACTTGGATTTCCCTCCTCTCACCGCTTTATGCCCAGAGATTTACTGGTGCTTGAAAACTCTGCAGTAAGAGCATTACACGGTGAAAAATGTGCAGCAAGGTAATTAAAGCTGCTACATACAGTAATCATGGTGGAGATTAGTGCAGCGGAGTCCCATTTCTGAAAATCAACACTGTGATGAGAGGTTACAGTTTTAACACTATTATGATCGGACAGGTACAGAGGAAAGGCCTGTTGAGGTTAAAACAAGTTTAGAGACACGCAGAGACCCTAAAAATATACATCGTCTAGAACATGTGTACATTATTAGTTGTTTTCTTTTAAGTTAAAACAATCAGCTTGATTTGAACACTTAGCAAATCAAAGTAGAAAAACAACCTTGACACATCCATTTCATAAAACAGGTGTGTAGGAGAGTAATGTGTCCAACAAACTTTTATTGGCAACGTTTCGGCACTAGACCTTTATCAAACAGGTTTATCTGATGAAGGTCAATAGCCAAATAGCTCAGCAAATCAAATGAATCCCAAAGCTGCAGATATTTATTCATAAAAATCTGGTTAGGTCTCTTGAACAACATTACACAAAAAAACTCAATTGCAGTCTATAAATGCTAAATGGTAAACGGACTTGAGCTTGTATGGCCCTTTTATAGCCAGCACTACACACTGATGGTAGAGGCTGCTGTGTAAAGAGTCCATCAGTATGAACTTATACCTTTTATACACATTCATACACTGTTGACGAAAGAGGTAACTTGGTGTTAAGTGTCTTCCCAAAAGACGTGTGGCTGCAGGAGCTGGGGATCAAACCCCCGACATTCCATTTGAGAGATGACCAACTGTACCAACTGAACCACAGCCACTTCTATTCTAAAACACTGGGTGATTCTGAATCACTTGATAAGGGTAACTCTGCATAAAGAATCACAACAGAATGCAGAGTGTTGGCCAAATTGCGGGTTTGACACTCTCTGACCTAACACAAGTCAGGACTTTAAAGAAGGCCCAGTCAACCCTGGCTGACCTCAGTCGTCCTTTGTTCAATGAGTTTAAGTGGCTTCAGATCAGCCACAGATTCAGCCTGCCACCATGCAGGACAAAGAGACTAAGAAATGGTTTTATCTGTACTGCCAGTGGCTTTTTTAACTGACTAATTGTGCCACTTTTTAATCTATTGTATTTACTTTTACTTCTTAGTCTGTCTTCTTATGTTGTATGTTGATTGTTGGCTGGATGTATATACTGTATGTTTTTACTGCTGACAGCGAGACAAATGCCCTCTCAAAGGGATACGGACCTTGAACCTTGAACCTAAGAGTGTCCACTT